GGCATAATTTGTAGTAACCCAGTTTCTGGCCAGATCCAGGGAACTACCGAAACAGTGCTGTTTGGATCAGGACATGGTGTCAGATTTTCCCCGAAGGTGGTTCTGACTGGCTAGGAAGGTTACAAAAAATTCATCCAGAAAAAGGAAAGTCCTCTTTGCTAACAGCAAGAGACAGTCTGTGCCATCCCGCTGTACTAACTCTGCCACTTAAAATGTGATCAGAACCTAACAAAACCCTCCACTTGCCGAGATTTACTGCTTCACAGACCAACGGAGCGAAATGTAAACTGCAATACATCCGTCTTTATCCCGCGAGCATCCTTGGTTCTGTTATTTCCCTCTCCGGTCCCCCTGGATGAATAGCCCTTTCCCCTCGCTGCACTGAATACACCAGGTGACTCCGAATCCGGCCACCCAGCAGATGCTTCCGCAGTACCAACTGTTCTGATACCCCAGCCCATCTCCAGCTTGGGTTTTGTTTTGTTTTTTTCCCCTCCTTCCCCCCTCCTCCTTGTGTCCTACCAATCTCTGCTGCCTGGCACATGCTGCAAGCCGCAGTCCCACCGGAGTGATATTGTGATGGAAATCAGGGAGGGGATGCAGGCAGAACTGCGCAGATTTACGGCACTCTGAGGGTTTCCATTAAAATCCTTGACAACTTGTTATTTATGAGTAGACCAACAGCTCTTCTAATATCCAGGGCCTAGACCCCATTCACTCAATAATGCTGGTTTGGAATAAATGAGCCAGAGGATGGAAACCAGTTCTGTTAGTATAATGGAGGAGGCTAATAGCTGTTTAGAGAAAACAACTGATGTAATGCTGGGACCCAATCCTTTCGCCAACAAAGCAAAAAAGGTTCGATTCGTCAGTGCATTTCACGTAGTGATTTGACTCGGCACAAAGAGGGTGATAAATGGCAGCGTTCGGATTTTGTGCCGTTATGTACCCACTGAGCACTCTCTATTTGTACCAGTGCGCTGCAGATCAAGGGACTCATTGACTCCCGTGCAAGCAGGGGTAGGTCAGTCTTGATCCCCGCAGCAGAACAAAGATAAACCCCGTGTCCTTACAAAATAACAGAAGCGACAAAAATTCTCTCTATGTAATATCTTCATTTTTCAGTCTCGTAAAACCAGTGCTGCAGCCTGTCCAAGTGTCATTCTAGAAGTTCTCTTTTTTCCACTGTTCCTTTCTCTGCTCTCTTCCCCTTCCCATCATTGACATGCCATTGACATGCAGAATCACCTCCACGTACTGAGTAAGCACAGGACTGATCCCTGAAACAAGGGTTTCGGTGATGGAAACACTTTAAACCCTAGATGTGCAATATGCTGCTGTGAGGAATTATCGATCTCTTCTGCTCTATCTTAAAATCAAACTGACAAGTTATTTTGCTAAGTATAACCACTCAGTTGCTGGCTTGTACATGGCTTTCCTTTTCCTCCATTGTTCACCTGCATCTTGTCTATTTACATTCCTTTTGTCGGTAACCTTTTTATTTCTTTTCAGCTTCCTCTGCTCTCCACGGGAGCCTCATTAAGGTGAAGCGAAGGGAAGCAGCAGCGCTGCCAGATGGACCCTGCTCCACGCCTCTGCCTGCCCTGTGTCTGCACCCCAAACTTCAGCACTGGGATTTTGGAGGCGATTGACGATGCTGGAAGTCCAAATTGTTCTGCAGGAAGAAGAAAGAATACATGGAGAGGTGAAGAGGAACCAGGAGGAGAACGGGTGGAGGAAAGCGTCTGGTAAAGGAAGGGAAGGGACTGTGTCTGTACAATTGGAGTCGCTTCTTCAAAGAAGCTGAGCCACCAGCCAGTTATTTCAAGCCTCCTTTCAGGTACTCTGACTTTCAGAGCTGAGATAATTTGGGAATCTGGGATCTGTAACCATCTCCCTTGTGGCCAGTCTCATTTTTTCTGCACTGGAAATAACTTTTCCCAGGTGAAACAACGGTCTTTCCTATGAAACGAACCGACATCAGTTGGTATGTGATGCCCTCGGTGACCAGAGCTAAGAGCATCCCTCTGCAGCTGAGAGAAGTTATCATCTGGTTCGCATTTTACACATACAGAAACCTACCTTTGGTTAGAAAATGGTGTGCCATGGACAGGGACAGATATATTTAAAATAAACTCTGTGTGAATGGGAGAGAAAGCCCGAGACAAGAGCCAACTTCTTGGAAAGAAAAGGGTCTGACGAAAATGAGGGAGAAGCAAAAGGACCAGTGGGCCAGTTCCTAAGCTGGACCAAACTGAGAAGCCTTGCAAAGGCTTAAAAATATACATATTCACAGAGATTTGGCGCGTAAAGTATGAATTCTTCCTTTTAGATACATTTTTAATGAGTGTCCATTCAGATGCTCTGTGAGTTCTGGTATAAAATGTGCCAAACCCCTAATTTCCCATTGGAAAATTTATTTCAAGGTCCTTATCCAAGACATATCAATGGAATATTGCATCTCATCCAAAGTATATCTATATCTAATTATCAGCCATTTGAGCTACTTCTGTAATAAACCATAAAACTGAGGTAGGATTGAAATCCCTTATCAAAGGCTAAATGCAGCAGTAACATAAATAATGCTGTAAATTACAAGCAAAATGAAAACTTGGTCAGAAAATAGATGATGTAATTTGTGCTCAGGGGTAAATTGGTCCCTGGCTGCCCGGGATAGGGAAGGTATGACCTGCATCAGGCCGAAGTACATAGCTGGGAGTCTGAATCTGTGTCATTATTATGGAAAAGGAATGACATGCCTTAAAATACTTGAAAAAACCCAGCATCTTCATGAGATTTATTGCAGTCTGACACCCTCTGCTGGCGACCCGCTTGCTGCTTGTCTCCCAGGGCTGGCAATTCGACATAGGCACCCGATTTTATAGAAATACGAGGAGCAGGCAAGTGGAAAACAATAGGTGCCCGTGTAAAAGGGATGGAGAGGCAATTTGGGGGCGACGACACTTGGCACTGGTGGCTCAAGGCCATAGATAGCACCGGGACATCACTCCAACCCCAGGTGACCGCGTTTGGCTTTAGTACCCGAGCCACTACAGCTGGTGCTGGCAGCAGTGTAGGAAAGAAAGAGCTCTGCTGAGTGGAATTTGGATGAAATACCAGGGTTTTAGTAAAAAATTGCTTTTGTCTCTTCCCACATTCGATCTGCTTCTGACAAGGAAAATGTAATTTAAAGTGCGGGACGTGTGGGAAAAGGTTGGGGAGAAAAGCGTTTTGAAAAACAACGGGACTTTTCCTGAGGAAACAAGCGTTCCGTTAAAAGCCAGCCTCATTTTCACCGAACGTTTGTTCATCAAAATTGGGATAAAGCAACGCCAAGAACATTTTGATGTGGAAATCAATGATGTACCAGGTATTTTTAAAATAGTATTTCTCATCCCAAGTGAGGAAGTTTTCACCTTTATCTCCTAGCTTAAGGAAAAAAGGTGTGGATAGGTGGGATGTCCCTGTGACAGAAGAATTCCAGCCAGCTCCAGGTTTTCAGATGAGCACTACTGATATAAACAGTCTCTCTACCCGTAGGGATGCCGTGTTGTGTGCTCCAAGTTACTCGGAGAGGTGCCTATAAGTACGTTGTTAGACAGAAGCTTCAGCAAGTAATTGAAAGCCTGCAAATAGCTCCCTTAAGACCTCATCAATTCCTCCAATTTATTTCTTTAAGAATGAACACCGACATCTTTTTCCACAATTTTCTCCATATAGCTTTTATTGTTGTTTGCTGTTATTTGCCTTTACAGGTCTTTAAATAACGCTCGCCAGTATAGTGCATCTCAAGACAGAAATATTCTATTCAAATCTAGGCTGCTGAAAAGGTTGTGTACAGTCAAAACAGTCAAACATTTTGAAGGCTTTGTTACTCTAAATATTCTTAAAACTCTGTGTAAACTTCTTAGGATTTTCTGTTGTTTCAGATATTCAGCAGGTAACACAGTCTAATATGGCTGGATAATAAACATTTCCCCATTTGTGCTTGCATAGGAAAAAGAGCTGTTATTCATAAATTGAAAACCCTGAAGCATAAATAAAAATAGTAACCAGATAATCTGTGCATAAAGCATCGTACTATCCCAAGGCACTTAGGTTTGCATCACAACATTTTGGCTTGAGAACAGGCTTTTCTTATTAAATCAAGAAGGTTTTGAAACAGGAGAAATAACCCAACTGCAGAATTTCCTTTAAATGAGAATGCCCAGTTTCTGACACACTGCTTATCCTCTGTGCTGCCAAGACAACCCAGCCACTGCTCTTCTATGGGCTCCACCCCGTATCGACTTTCTCGGTTTCAGAAATTCCATTTTTATCTCACCCAACAATAAGGCATGCTGCCTCCTTTGCTGGAATGCCGGCCCTAGACCTTCAGATCTGCAAACAGATATTCAGTCTCGTTATAAATGTCTCTTTCAAAAGCTTTACGATGGTGAGAGAAGAGATATATTTTTTATTCAGACCTCTTTACTGATTAATAATTAATTCTGCATTCCAGAAGCTGAGCAGGACTGAAGGTGCAATCCTGAAAGATTACACAATGTTTCTGGTCTTTGGTTAGCGATCACAGCGATGTATTAAAGAATAAATCCATTTTACCAGAGAGGTATCAGCCAAGTAAAAGAAACTGCTGTACAACATCCCACCTCTCAGATCCCAGCCTGAACGAACAGTTACACAGCCAATCCTGTTCTAAAGGACTGGTACAACATTCAACTAAATTACTAATTATAGGGGTTGTAACCCATTTAACATACTTGATCCAAGACACAGGACTTAAGCTGGATGCCAGCGATTCAGTTTCAGGATATGGCTGGCTGACCTGACTTATGGTTGGTCATGTGCCCCATGGAACAGAAAGCTCAGAATTACAACGCGAGCAGCAAAGTCAGTTTTGTCTGGGTGCTCTTAGCATGAATTAAGCCTCTACAGTGATTTTGGTCTATTCTAAATTGCAGCCTCTGCCACCTATTCTACAGAACAGATACAAATTCAAGTTACTCCAGGTGATGACAAAAAACATGGTCCTCAAACACCTGCTTATTGGAGTCTTCGAAGGTCTCACGGCAGAGTGGGCACTCCAGAAGATGGCTCTGCACATGGGCCTCGTACTGACTTGTTTCAATATCTTCAGGAAAGACTTCATCGCACATGGGGCACTTCCTTATAGAAGCCTGAAGTACAAAGCGAATGCAAATAAAGTCAGTTCAAAAATCATATTCCAAGAGAAGAAACAGGGAATTTTAGTAGCCAGGTATTATCACTTTTGGACAAGTTTTTGTGACTTCTAACACCCAAGTTCTCAAATGTCTCCAGGTTTCTCCAAATGGACCTTAAAATTCGAGAGCTTCTGAGAGGTATTCTAACTTGCACATAGCACACATCCGTGTCTCCAGTATGGAATAAGGTACTTAGCAGCTGCACACTGCTCATTCGGATATTAGAGACTGTCAAGAGCTGGTCCTTAAAGTCAACAGTTTCCTTAATTCCAGGTGTCAGACACGTGTCTCCATTTTGTTACACACTCTGTTACCAGTAAGGAGACGATTGGCTAGGGAGCTGAACGTGGAGCTCTTTTTTTAAATTTCAAACGACTAATTCGTGTCCGTACACCACCAATTCAAGTCGAGTTGTGTCCACTTTACTTACATCTGCAGCTCCTGCCTCCAGGTTTGCTCCTGCAGCTGGAAGAAGAAGAAATCGATTTAGCCACAGCAAAACGATTAACAACGTAATGTGCTGATAACTAGTAATTCTTGAAACATGAGGACGTGGCTCTGGATCTAAACCTCTCTATTTAGGAGAACGGAATGTGGACATAAGCCATGGAACTGGCTGTCTCACAGCTGAATCGACGAGCTAATAGTTGTCTCTCTTGGCAGAAGGTGAACAGACAGCTGATTGCTTAAGTGAGCTCTTCACACCTGGCAGTATTTTGCAGCTGCCAAGTCATCTGCACACATGCAAAGCTGCACAGAGGTGCTGCTAATAATGTCTTTTCTACAGCATTCAATTCAAGAGGGAGGATAATTCGCTGAGATTTTAATGGCCACGGATTTGCGCTTTCAGACCAAACGCCAAGTAATCTCACCACTATATGGATTTCCAAACAGAAGGCCTCCTGCTTCACGAGCTGGTTTTGGAGCTTGTGCTTGTGAAGCAGAGAAGGAAGAAACCTCTCTAGCCTGTGAGAGACGCCTCAGGAGTCCATCGTTCTCTTCCATTAGTTTCTGCAAAGGGAAAGAAGGGCAGAATGAATTTTCAGAAGGTCAGACAAAAGTCACACTTTGCATTAACACAGATCCTCTTCTATCAGAATCCTAATTGCTCTTTTATGTGGCTCAGTGTTAGTCCTGCTTCATCAAAAGGCTAAGCAAGGTAAGGAAGGGCAAGGATCTATTCTGTGGCCTGCTCTGGAAGGCAAACAAGATGATCACAATAGCGTAATACACTTGCAAAGACAAAAGACCATCCTGAAGTCATGCAGAGTAAGGAAAAAAACCTAAGCAGTCATTGTTCTGACTGGACAAAAAGGCTATGTCCATTTAAACGATTAAGGCCATTCATTTCAGCAGTGTGAAAATTAAGCTAGCGTTAGAAGTCTTTGAAAATCCAGCCTGTTCTGCAGTGGGGGAAAAAGACGCAAGTTGTCAGGCCCTTCCACTGCGCAGACTTGGCAGCAACAACGTGCCATGAGTGTAGGCACACAGTCATTTGTCCGTGCCTGAAAGCCAGGCTGCCAGGCTTCAGGTGATGTGCGCAGGCACAGGGTTAATGGAACTGAACACCAGACCGAGAGAACAGCGTCACATTCGACACAGGAGAAAAGCGAGGGAGTTGTGCCAAGTTCTCACCTGGTTTTTCTCATCAGCTGCACTCTTTTTTGCCTGGAGAATCTGCCACAAGCGCCTCTGCTCCTCGAGTTCTTTCATTAAGTTACAGTTTTGTTGCTATGAAGGAAGGGTCATTTGGTAAATCAGGGGAAAGTGGCAAATAAGACGACGACGGCACTGGAGCTGTCATATACTCGCTGCCTCATGCCTCAATCTCTCTGCCTTGGCTCTCCCAAGCACTGTGATACTCAGGGGAGGTATTACCTTAGTCTCGAGTAATTGGCGATTCTCTTCCTTTAAACTTTCAAGCTGCTCTGTCTTGTCACGGTCCGTACAAGATAGGTTTTCCACCTCCTTCTCATAATTCAACACTTTAGACTAGAGAGCAAGAAGAGTGTGCAAAAAGTGAAAATGGAATAGCCCTGACCAAGGAGCCCAGGCACCACCTTTTGCTGCAGAAGGTGAAGCTACCTGCAGGGAGTCCACGTGATCCAGGGCTGTTTTCAGTTTGGTTTCCAGGTGTTCCTTTTTGGAGGTCACATTCTGAACTTCCTCTTTGAGTCTACGCAGAACAAATCAAAACACACTGTACTTTCACGTATGGAAGCTTAATCCGCAAAACAAGGCGCTTACATGAAATCCAGGTTTGAGATATGCTGTAAATACACTTACTGGTGCAGTTCTGCCTCTCTGCAGCCATCCAGCTCCTTTAGATGGTTATTTTCCTTTTTCAGGGAATTCAGCTCCAGCTCTAGTTTCTCCATGTTGCTCCTTAGAGACTCTAAACTCTTCTGCGACTCCTGAAAATCAGAGTGAGGTCTACAAGAGGTAAACAGGACCCAAGCAATAGTCCTGCTCTGCACTGGAACTGCAAAAACCCTCAGATGCACCACTGCCAGGCAGCCCGTCTGAAGGAGGAAAATCCCTCCTTTGTGTCCTGACTACTCTTTCAGACCCTGCTTCACTTATATTAGGCCCTGAGGAAAATTGAAAGAGGAAAAGACAGTCATAGTGTGATTTCAGGAGAGCTTACAAAACATTTTTGAGCAGTTCCCGTATGTTCCTGACTCCCATGTCTGAAGATGGCTCTTGTTCGTCATTATCGTTCTTACCACAGTAAAGGTATTGTACAATTTGGTAAAGGATTAAAAAGATAATATGGGAAGAAACCTCTTTAATTTTCTCCTGGAAGCGTGCAGTGGCACGAGATCTAACTTAGTCCCTCTTCACCTTTCAGGCTTAAAGCTCCTGACTTATTTCATTAACTTTTTTCTTTACCTGCATCTTCTTAAGCTCTTCCTGCAGATCGACCATTTGTTTCTGGAGTGCGGCACAGCTCGCTTTCAGCTGCTTGTTTTCTTCATGCAAATTTTTGTTCTGTAGTTCAATCTCTTCCGCTTCTCCCTGGCAAGTTGGGTTGTAACAGAAGCACTGAAAAGCTACTGAAAAGCACTGAAGAGCACAGTGTGAAGAGCAAAGAAACGCAAGCTCTGCAGAAGGGAAACACCATGTACCTCCTCGTGATTTCACTACTAGTGCAAACCAGACTGCTGCTTCCCTCTCCCTGGTCTCTTCAAAGCTGACCATCAACCCAGTTCGGGAATGCAAAGCACATACTACCCCTGATCTTTGGAGATGCTCAAAACCTTCTGTGTCTGCAGAAGTCAGCAGACACAGAGCTTTTGGGCTTTCTGCAGTTTATTAGATTAGGATCACACACGCGGCGTAGTCGTTAAAAAAAGGGCTGCACACAAGACACTGCAAAATAAGAATGCTCGGCTTCACAGCACCTCCGTTATTGTCCACGTGCATGCTCTTACTCCTATCTAATGGCAGGCTCTTCCCACGTAAATGACATTTTCATTTAAAAATATTTAAAAAGCCCTGAAACGCTACGCATTAACTCGCTCCCCATTATAAAGAGCTCGCAATCTAAGCGATAAGTGGCAGGCAGAGAAACAAAGGCTGCCCAAATTTGTGTGACAGACTGGTAGCAAAGCCAAGAACAGAATCCAAGTCTGCTGAGTTCTAGCTTGGCATCTGAATTACCGGAACGCTGTGTTAGGAGTGAGCACATGCCAATAAAAGCAGAGGCAGTGAAAAGCAGGGGAAGAGAGGACCCATACCTGTGTGGTAACCACCAGGATATCGTCCTCACTTGCTGCTCTGAACTGGAAAGGCACGCTGGCTCCCCGGACCATGCCCTCCTGGTCAATGTAGCAGAATTGGTAGTATTCATCATCTTTCGGTAGGTAGTAGGCTTCAGACAAACACAACCACCTCGTTATCCCCAGCTTCTAATTATTTAAGCCTCTTAGCCACGTATGCACGTGCACGTACATTCCCCGAGGGACCCAAGCTCCCGACTCACCTTTGAACTGGATCTGCTGCTGCACAGCGGTATCACTGGGGATGTCACTGGGAAGAGGAGCCCACATGAACGTGTAATATTCCCGGGTTGTTTTCCATCCCACCTGCAATAGCAAAATTGTTACCCGGCATCACATAGTTCATGTCTGTCCTATGGTAATGGGACTATTTCCACATAGATCAGTTACTGAGAGGGATTTTGCATCCATATCCTGACTTCTAAGAGTTGTGGTCTATGCATGAAAGGATAATCAGAGTTTTTGATTAGCCTTGAAGCTGTTGAGATCACAATAGGTCTGGCTCTTTGTCCCTAGGCACAATAAAGGTGTTCCATCATACAAAGTTTTTACTGAAACAAAGTCTCCACCCATGTTCTATCGAAGCCCAAGCTATCTGTTCCTGCCTGCTGCTGCTTTCTCATCCTTGGCGCGCCCAGTTTCACGGTATTCACTTACCCGGAAGATGCCCACCCAGTCCTTCCCACGAGGAACAATGTTCTGTGTGAGGGTGTAGTAACAGATGATGTCTCCTCCGGGAACATAAAACTTCTCCACGTTGTTAAAGACAACCTGGGAGAAGTGGCAGCTGTCTAAGAGGACGGCAGAAGTGGGAGGCTCATCTGAGTTTTCATCCATTGTGGAAGTCTACAAGAGATAAAAATAAGGGGATTATCTCATCTTCAGATGCTGCCAATGTAGTTGTGTCTGTGAAGGGTATGAAGAGGTTCGGCTTGGGAATAACACAGCCGTGAGGTCCAAAACCCGCTGTGTGAACACCAAGGTTTCTCAGCAAGGCACACGAGCTCACTGGTATCCCTGCCACTGCGGCCAGGCTGCTCCCGACACCCAGGGCAGCCTGGGAACCATCTTTCGCAAGTGTAAGATTCTTTCCTCTGACTGCTGCTTCCCAGCCACAGTGCCGGGTCCTCGGAGGTTGTCGGTGTGGCACAGCAGCCTCTCTCCTGCGTGGGACCCACTGACCATCCTACAGATGTGCTACACAGGAGAGGTAGCGGTGCCTTACGGCGGCAGAAGCACGTGCGCCTGCTGATGGGATCTCTGCTGGAACGCTGGCTGTCCCCACATGAAGCCCAGCATCACATTTTTCATGTGATCTGACACTCCGAGCACATCCCCACCACATGTAGTTAATGTGGGGGTGCATCAGCTCTTCTGAAGTCTCTAGACTAGCACGTTGCTTGAGAAGAACAGAGGTTCCACTGGATTAGTAACACGCTCCGACCGTAGTACAAAGACAAAAACTGCAGCTCGCTGTCTATTCTGCTAACTGCTCTGAGACTTGTGCAGGCCCAGCCCTAACGCACTCCACCTTCCCAGGCTGACCGTGGTGACACATAAGACACACTCACGCTGGCGATAAACAAACTCAGCAGCCTTCTGCATTTCCAACCCAGCGCGACGACTTGACCCCCAGACGCAACATCTTTCATCTGCAGCTTCCTGGCTCCAAGGGAAGAGAGGTACCTTGCCAAGCTCAGCTCCCACGGAAGAGCACAAACGGAGGAGATCCTGGTCAGGGAGGTTGTCTTCGTTGTGTCTCACAAGCCTGTGTCCTGAGGCTATTCTAGCTGTGCCACCCCGCTACGCTGAAACTGCGAGACGATTCTCAGTATCGAAATGAATCCGTGGCGTGACAGCAGGGTCAACAAACAGCATTAAAGCTTTTCCATGAGGTGTCTATACAGAGGACAGAGGTGTCTATACAGAGGGAGGTGATCATGCCCCTGTACTCGGCACTCGTGAGACCTCACCTCGAGTGCTGTGTCCAGTTTTGGTCACCACAGTACAAGGACATCGAGGTGCTGGAGCGGGTGCAGAGAAGGGCAACAAGGCTTGTGAGAGGTCTGGAAAACATGCCCTATGAAGAGCAGCTGAGGGAACTGGGTTTATTTAGTCTGGAGAAGAGGAGGCTGAGAGGAGACCTTATTGCCCTCTACAACTACCTCAAAGGAGGCTGTAGTGAGGCTGGTGCTGGTCTCTTCTCTCTTAATTACTAATGACAGGACAAGGGGAAATGGCCTCAAGTTGCATCAGGGTAAGTTTAGATTGGATATTGGGAGGAAGTTCTTTCCTGAACGAGTGGTGAGGCACTGGAACAGGCTGCCCAGGGAGGTGGTGGAGTCACCAACCCTGGAGGTGTTTAAAAAAAAGGTAGATCTAGCACTTGAGGCTGTGGTGTAGTGGCTGGGGGTGCTGGGTTGAAGGTTGGACTAGATAATCTTCAGAGGTCCCTTCCAACCCTGAACATTCTGTGATTCTGTGACTCTGCAGTGCGTTGTGACACTACGAATCACACAGCGTAAATCTGTAGGGGGTACCTTGATCAAAACCTTATCCAGACCGCCAGGAGCCCCAGCGGGACCCGAGACCAAACCCTAAATCACCCTCTTTGCCACTGCGTTCTGCAGGCAGCCAGGCTTCGGCCCTGGCAATCCGTCAAGGGGCAGATGGCTGCTGAGAAAAGCCTGCCGCCAATCCCAGACAATTCAGTTCCAGGAAATGAAAGGAGAACCTTCCTAGCTGACCTTAATAACAGCAGGAGCAAGCAAGGACTGACCTCACAACAGAGGGAAGGAAAGTTCATCATGAACAACCATTGCACTGGAGCACCTCCCATCCAGAAGTTTCACATGGAAGTGAACTCCCTGGAATCTTGGGGTGTTTTTTTTGTTTTCTTTAGCATCATCCAACAGATTGTCTGTATTCTGTGCCAATGAACAGCCTGAAAATCAGGCAGAAGTTTAGATGGAGGTGGTGGGGCTGCGCTCAGGAAGGAAGATGTATCAACACCTGAAAAGAAACATGATAACTGTGCTGACACTGCCTGCCTGGGGAGGACTGAGAATTCCTCCTTCTGGGAGTGGAAAGCAGGGCAGGCCCTAGAAATGGAGACAGCAGAATCTTCTAGGGCCTCCAGGGCTGCAGTTTCACTTTTAATTCTCAGTGGGGTGTGCAGGAAATGGCGTTATGATTCATCTAAGCATCAGCCGTTACCTGCCAGGCATCAAACTTTCCCACCTTGTTGCAGCAAAACAATGTGTTCTGCTGAAAAAAAAAAAAATTAAATAAAAAAGTGGTGATTTTGGTGACCGTGAAGAGCATGCTGATGGAAGAGTTTCCAGTTTACTTCCAGAAAAAGGTGACAGGAAGCAGAGAGGGGAGGAGGACATTTTGTTAATACTCACATTCTTTGTTACGCAAACAGCTCGTAAATCATCAGAAAAGGCAGAAAAGACCCCGAGAAGCTGCTGCCGCCCGAGGGGATGGGACAGTCACAATCTCCGGGGTGTTAATGCCTAACGGGCAGTCCCAGCCCGGCGCTGAGCTAACGAGGAGGGACGCTTACAGCTAACACGGCGCAGGGCGGGATAAATAACGTTTCCTCCGGTGCTCACAGCCCGGCCTCTCTCCGGGGACTTTCTGGGTTTTCCCCACTTCTTTCGCTGTGGCTGTTTTCATCTTTCGTTAACCTGCAGCGCCCCGATGACCTAGAAAAAACCCCGGATCCTCCCCT